TATGAGCTGTCCAGAGACCGGGGCCACAGAGCTGCAGAGGGTAGACCAAGAGAAGGATCTAGGAGTGATATTCGACAAAGGCTTGACATTTAAAGAAGATATGCGCTCTCGTATACATAGGGCGAGTAGTGTGATGGGAATTATTAGGCGTACCTACACTTATCTTGATGTTGACACTTTTTAAGCCTCTGTATACTGCATTAGTCAGGCCACATCTCGAATACGGAGCCGCAGTATGGAACTCAAAAAACTAAAGAACGACATTGAGGCAATTGAAAGAGTGCAGAGGAGAGCAACTCAACAAGTGCCTCAACTACGTAAACTGAGCTACGAACAACGTCTTCAGAGTCTTGATATTCCAACACTGAGATTTCGTATATTGAGGGGAGACATGGTAGAGAAATACAAAATACTCAACGGTATATATGATAGCTCCACTGGTAAAATACTTCAGATTGCAGTTGACAAGAGGACACAGTTTGAAATTAGTGAAACCTAGAGCCTACACTAGCCTTCGTTGTCGCACTTTCAGTCACTGAATTGTAAATGACTAGAATTCATTACCAGAACACATTGTTTCTTCACCATCACTCAACTCCTTTAAAAAAAAACGCCCTGGACAACTACTGGGAAAATTCCAGTGGGTATGGACCTGGGTAGCATGCCTTACAAACCATGCGCCACAACTAAGTCTGGAAGAAATTGGAGTATACATGTACAAAGGAAGTGAAGACTACAGATCTGGTCTCAGGGGCTGTCAGCCCACGACCAGGAACATCCTAAGTAAATAAGACCATCGTCATCATGAATGTTGAACTTTCCTGGAGGCCAAAACTCCGCTTAAAAACAGACTTTGTCCAATGGTGTGGGCGGTGACCAGGGCTCCTTCCATTCAGCCATGAGTTAGTATAGATCCTGTGGAGATTTATTGATCAGTAAATCTGTCTTTTATCTTAGCTGTTCTTCCTGAGTTTAAACAAATTCATTGTCAAAGTTTGCAGTTTGGAACCCTGCGCCTCGCCCCTCACGACATAATATGAGTTGAGGTCACTAAACACTCAAGCACAGTCTCCTCAGGCAGGTACATTGTTTTACTGGAAGAATCAGGACTCCTCTCCAAGTTCACCTCTCCAAGTTCACAAACTTCTTGCTCTTACACAACCTCCCGTGATTCAACCCGACCTCTGACCTTTCGTTACAGTTGACCAGTATAACCCATCCCGTCCATTTTACGGCTGTGTCTCTGAGAATCTGTGCAACAACATCCACCCTGTCACGACGATATTTTGGCTTCAGTACCTCAGTGTCCTGCTGCAACACTTCCCACTGCAACGTCCCAGGTAAGTCCTTTTTCAGTCCTGGTTCAGTCCTGGTTCAGTCCTGGTTCAGTCCTGGTTCAGTCCTCTGGTCTAACCTGTGTCTCTTTCAGATCTGGGGTTACAGTGTTTGACGTGCACAGACTCGTCATGTTCTTCTCAGCGCTCGGTGACCTGCTCCAAACTCGCCCCCTTCTGTTACACTGATGCCTACGCAGGTACAGTACTGTCCTCTGATTGGTCACTGCATGTCTGAGCCTCTCTCTGATTGGTTGGTACAGGTCTGTAGTGGGCGGGTCTGGCTCTGGTCCACAGTCCAGACCTGGTTCTTGGAGAAGTATCTCTTCAGATCTGACCTGTTTCTGTTCTGGTTTTCAGGTTCTTACGATTATGGAAGCTACAACTACAGCTACAGTGGAATCAGAAAAGGCTGTGCTTCATCCTCGGTCTGTACAGCTGCAGGGTCTGAGTTCATTTCTTATGACTATGGCTCCAGGTCTTACCTCAAAAACAAAACATGCTGCGACACAGACGACTGCAACGCTCCAAACCCGACCTGTGAGTGCTGCTCCTCATTTTACACAAATAGACTTGGTAGTGGGTTCCTCCAAAGTCACCTCCTTCCAGTCCAAGTGTCCTGCCTCAGCCCAAACAGACGCCTAATGGAACAGACTTCAGAGAGAACGAGCAGCAAGAAAACATAGAAATAAATAATCTTTAATAATTGCAGATAATGAAAAATTGCATTTAAAAAATCCCAAACAAACATGTCCAAACTAAAATCCCATAGACTTTTCTCAAAGGTCCAACTTCTCCTCTTTGTTTCAGCGCCCCCTGTTGGCTCTCTGCAGTGTTACAGCTGTGATCCAGACTCTTATGAATGCACTGCCAATGTGAGCTGTAACACCCAGGAGGTGTGTGGACAGGCTGTGGGTGAGTACAGTTCAAAAGATCCACTTCTACTGTTTCATGCACCAGTTCACCAAAATACAACAGGACAAGAGAGACCATCATCATCATGAATGTTGAACTTTCCTGGAGGCCAAAACTCCACCTAAAAACAGACTTTGTCCAATGGTTGTGGGCGGTGACCAGGGCTCCTTCCATTCAGCCATGAGTTAGTATAGATCCTGTGGAGATTTATTGATCAGTAAATCAGTCTTTTATCTTAGCTGTTCTTCCCGAGTTTAACAAATTCATTGCCAAAGTTTGCAGTTTGGAACCCTGCGCCTCGCCCCTCACGACATAATATGAGTTGAGTCACTAAACACTCAAGCACAGTCTCCTCAGGCAGGTACATTGTTTTACTGGAAGAATCAGGACTCCTCTCCAAGTTCACCTCTCCAAGTTCACAAACTTCTTGCTCTTACACAACCTCCCCCGATTCAACCCGACCTCTGACCTTTCGTTACAGTTGACCAGTATAACCCATCCCGTCCATTTTACGGCTGTGTCTCTGAGAATCTGTGCAACAACACCAACCTGTCACGACAATATTTTGGCTTCAGTACCTCAGTGTCCTGCTGTAACACTTCCCACTGCAACGTCCCAGGTAAGTCCTGGTTTCAGTTTCTTCCTTCTCTTTACACTAGTTTCTCTTCAAATTACCAAACCATTTCAAAGTTTTATTTTGTGTTTAAGATCCTGGAGTGTTTTAGTTCAGCTGCAGTTATTTTTAAATGCACATAATAACATAATTTATCTGATTTGCTCCAGTCAGTTGACGAAGTATTTCATAGCACTGAGTCAGCACTTTTAAAGGTTTTTAATGACCTGTTTTTAATGACTGATCCTGATGATTCTGACATTTCAATGCTTTTAGACTTGACGGCTGCTGTTGACTCAGTGAACCGTGCAACTTTTTTAAATCATCTTGAAAACTGTGTTGGTGTCAGAGGGTCTGTACTGAGTCTGTACTGAGTCTGTACTGAGTCTGTACTGAGTCTGTAGGGGGTCTACCTTGAAGTAGATCTGGTCCCATTTGTCGGGGAGGTCTTTCTGTGTTAGACTGGGGGACTTCACCTCATTCTTCACTCTGTTTCACTGTGGAGTCCCCCAGGGCTCTGTTCTCGCACCTGTACTGTTTACACTTCATATCTTTATATTCTCCCTCAGTCAGATTTTCCAAAAACATGGAATCATCATTTTTATGCAGACGACTTTCAAATTTATATGTCACTCAGGAGAAATGGCAGTGCATGACTGGCTGGTTTAGTCCTGGTTCAGTCCTGGTTTAGTCCTGGTTTAGTCCTGGTTCAGTCCTGGTTCAGTCCTGGTTCAGTCCTGGTTCAGTTCTGGTTCAGTCCTGGTTCAGTCCTGGTTCAGTCCTGGTCTAACCTGTGTCTCTTTCAGATCTGGGGTTACAGTGTTCGACGTGCACAGACTCGTCATGTTCTTCTCAGCGCTCGGTGACCTGCTCCAAACTCGCCCCCTTCTGTTACACTGATGCCTACGCAGGTACAGTACTGTCCTCTGATTGGTCACTGCATGTCTGAGCCTCTCTCTGATTGGTTGGTACAGGTCTGTAGTGGGCGGGTCTGGCTCTGGTCCACAGTCCAGACCTGGTTCTTGGAGAAGTCTCTTCAAATCTGACCTGTTTCTGTTCTGGTTTCAGGTTCTTACAATTATGGAAGCTCCAGTTACATCACGATCAGAAAAGGTTGTGCTTCATCCTCGGTCTGTACAGCTGCAGGGTCTCAGGTTTATTCTTATGACTATGGCTACAGTTCTTACATCAGAAACAAAACTTGCTGCGACACAGACGACTGCAACGCTCCAAACCCGACCTGTGAGTGCTGCTCCTCATTTTACACAAATAGACTTGGTAGTGGGTTCCTCCAAAGTCACCTCCTTCCAGTCCAAGTGTCCTGCCTCAGCCCAAACAGACGCCTAATGGAACAGGCTTCAGAGAGAACGAGCAGCAAGAAACATAGAAATAAATATTTAATAATTGCAGATAATGAACAATTGCATTTAAAAAATCCCAAACAAACATGTACAAACTAAAATCCCATAGATTTTTCTCAAAGGTCCAACTGCTCCTCTCTGTTTCAGCGCCCCCTGTTGGCTCTCTGCAGTGTTACGGCTGTGATCCAGACTCTTATGAATGTACTGCCAATGTGTGTGTGTGTGTGTGTATCTGACATCAGTCTCTCTCTCTCACAGTTCACAGACTTCAGTGCATGAGCGGCTCCGGCTCTAGTCAGCGTTTAGTCAACTGCTCCTATCAAACTACTGCGTGTTACTCCAGATCCTACACAGGTACAAGACTTCCTCTGATTGGCTCACAGTGCATGTGTGTGTCTCTGATTGGCTCACAGTGCATGTGTGTGTCTCTGATTGGCTCACAGTGCATGTGTGTGTCTCTGATTGGTCATGTCTGTGGTTTTCTCACTAACTCCACTTAAATAAAGTTTTAGTTTTGGTCTTGTTCTGCTCTTGTGACGCTTCCACCTCAACATCAAGACTCTGAACAAATCAACAAAAACAGGGTTTAAGGACACATGTATTAAATAATACAGATCATGATAATACAGAAACTAACATCAAATCTGAATCACAAATATGTCTCACTTTGTTGAAGTGGCCAAAGAGGCGTGTGGGACTGAATGTGTTTTTTTTTCAGGTTGTGCTGCACCAGCACCTGCACTGCCCTCTTCAGGAGATTCTTATTTGTTCCTTTTGTGTCTTTAGGCTCCTACGATTATGGAGACAACAGTTACACCTACAACTACACCTATAAAGGCTGTGCTTCTGCTTCAGACTGTACAGCTGCAGGGTCTGAGTTTGTTTCATATAATTATGGCCCCAACACTTATGCTGTAAACACCACGTGCTGCGACACAGACAACTGCAACGAAAATCATTCCAGTGAGTGATTCTCTCTTATCAGCTGATGTTCTGCACTTTGAAAATGTCTCATTAACACACATTTGTTTCAGTTGTGGCGCCCCCTGTTGGCTCTCTGCAGTGTTACAGCTGTGATCCTTACTCTTATGAATGCACTGCCAATGTGACCTGTAACACCCAGGAGGTGTGTGGACAGGCTGTGGGTGAGTACCGTTCAAAAGATCCACTTCTACTGTTTCTTGCACCAGTTCACCAAAATGCAACAGGGCAAGACCGTTTCCGTGTTACTGTGATGCCGCCGCTTTTTAGTTGTGATGGCATCAAAACAGCAAAATACGTTTATATCGATTGAGGATAAGGAAGAAGAAGCCAAAACACGTCACAAAAGTGAAATGTTTATTCATCTGAATGGGGCTACGACACTTGCCGGGAGTACGGATGTTGGTAATGTAAACAGCAAACTCGCAGCAAAAGTAGCTGTCACACCCACAAGACACCACCATACCGTGGAAATCTGGGTATGTAAGTTATGTAAGACCGAGTTCAAGGAGGACAAGGCAAAAGTTCTGGAATGTGAGGTGTGTTGTGAATACGTGTGTGCGAAATGTGCGAAATTTTCAAACCCGCTGTACAATGCAGCTGAAAGACCCGACCTTCACTTTACATGTAGTGATGAATGCAGGGACGAACTTAATGCAGCCCTTAGTGCTTTCTGAAACCTGCGCACCTGCAAATATGTCAAGCAAATGCAGATAATCGATATAAAGCCAACGTTGGAATCCATGAAGATAATGCTTCAGGACATTGACGCCAAATGTAATTGAAGGCAATACGAAATCCCTAGTGTGAATTCCACTCTTGTGGATCAATTGGATAAGCTGGAGGAAGCTATCTGACAGCAGGAGCAACAGACCAGGACACTTATAAAGGAAATGCTGGAGGGAGATGAAGTCACGGCTGCTGAAGATGGTGATCAGGCAAATACAGATGAAGATTATGTACCATTTAGTAAGGTGCTTAGCCCCCACGAGAAAAGGACCTTACGAATGGTCCAGACGGCTATCACTGCAAGTAGGAAGGAAGAACAGTCGCAGGAAGCCAGAGAAAACAGTATTGTTATACATCGTCTAACAGAGAGCACTGCAAATACTTCGGATGCAAGAGCCAAAGAAGACACTGTCACTGTCAACAATTTGGCAAAAAACTTGCTAGGCCTAAAGGATGTGCATGTGGTCACGGTACGCCACCTTGGGAAACCAGAGGACTGAAAGCACCGACCACTTCTCGTACAGTTCCAGAGAGCATGGGAGAAGCAACTTGTAATGGCAAACCTGAACAAGCTCAAGAATGCACCTGGGGAACTAAGAAATATAAGCATAATGCACGACATGACAAAAGAACAAAGAAATGTGAGGAGGGAACTAATAATAAAAGCAAAAGAGGAAAGAGTAAAAGATGCCACCTAGACCTTCAGGATAAGGGGGTCCCTAACAAACATGTGGGTGGAATGGTTTCCGTGGCGACAGTAGTAGATACTGATGCCAGCACAAACTCAGATGGAAATCAAGAAGAGTAGAAGATCAATTGACATGTTTTTTTGCGAATGCAGATTCACAGTCTAATAAAATTAACGAGCTTCGACAGAGATTAGCCCATATGGCTACTCCCCCTGATATCATTGCCATATCGGAAGTAAAACCCCAAAAATGTAGATTTGTCATGAGTGACGTAGACTACAAAATAAATGGGTACACACTTTATACGCATCATCTTCAAGATAGCATGGGCAGGGAACTAATCGTCTATGTTAAAACCACACCAAGTGCTGTATCATTGAACGTTAATGTAGTTTTTCAAGAATATATTCTACTTAAGATAAGATTGAACAAGAAAATCACTTAATTTTAGTCTCGTTTACAGGAGTCTAAACTCAAGTGAAGAAAATAATAAGAATCTTAATGAACTTATTTCAACATTTATGGGTAATCCTGTATCAAGTAACATAATTGTAGGGGATTTCAATTATTGTAATATTGACTGGAGTAATTGGACTACCACAGTAGAATCTGAAAGTCAGTTTATCGCCACACTTCGAGATGCCTATCTTACACAGCATATTACGGAACCAACAAGAGGAGGAGGAGCTGATCAGTCTAGCTTGTTGGATCTTGTTATTAATAGTGATCCACATCTGATAGATAGTGTTCAGTACGAGAGTCCTCTAGGTAAAAGTGACCATGCAGTCATCACTTTCTCTATTCTATGTTCCAGACCAAAAGACAATTATAGAAGTACTATGTTGTTAATAAAGAACTTGAGTGTACTGACTGGCAGGCAATATTTGACAAGGCAAGTGGAAATGTTGACCTGGCATATAAAGCTCTTACCGACATTATACAAGAAAAGATTAAGAAATATGTACCATCAAGAACAATAAACAATGACCAGCGCAACAAAAGAAGAGGATACGATGCGAATATTGTAAGAGCTGTGAAGAAAAAGCACAGATGTTGGCAACGATATATGGAGACGCGATCAGGGGTTCAGTACCAAGAGTACATTAGGCAATGAAATAAAGTGACAAAGCTTACAAGAAAAGCCCAAAAAGAGTATGAGAAGGAGATAGATGAGGTGGTGAAAACAAATCCAAAAAAATTCTGGAGGTACGTAAGATCAAAAACAAAAATCCCCACAGGAATTTATGGTTTAATGTGTGACGAGACCAACAAAGATGCAGGTATGGCAACTGAAGACGTCGAGAAAGCCAATATACCAACAGACTTTTATAGCTCCATTTTCACCCAAGAACCTCATGGACCATTGCCGCCAACAATTGACCACAGAGTTGATGAACGTATTTCTAATACAACACTCTCGGAAGAAAAGGGCCTTAAAAGGCTCAAGGGGATAAATCCTGCCAAGTCCCTCGGTCCAGACGGGGTGCACCCAGGAATCCTGAAGGAATTGGCAACCTCCTTGGCAAGACCATTACATATCATCTTTTGTTTATCTTTCAAGTCTGGAAAACTTCCCCTCATCTGGAAACAAGCCAACATCACCCCCATTTTCAAAAAAGGGAACCGGCATAGTGCAAGCAATTATCGACCTGTTCGCTTGACCTGTGTACCATGTAAGATATTAGAGTCGATGCTACGGGAAGATCTTACAGAGCACATGCGCAGAAACAATCTATTTTATCATTTTGGCTTTATCAATGGACGCTCTACGATACTGCAGCTGTTGCACGTAATTGAAAAATGGGCAGACATCCTGGACACTGGAGGGACAATACATGTATGCTATTTAAATTTTCAAAAGTCTTTCGATTCAGTCCCACATCAGCGACCACTAGCTAAACTAAAAAGTTATGGTGTAGAAGGCCCCTTGCTTATATGGATCAGTGATTTTTTACATAACCGACAACAAAGAGTTACCATCAATGGCGAGTCTTCTGACTGGCGCAGCATCATAAGTGGAATTCCACAAGGCTCGGTTTTGAGGCCAATGCTATTTGTAATCTACATTAACGACCTGCCAGACAGTGTGCTCTCTACTGCTTTCCTATTCGCTGATGATACAAAAATCTTCCAACATGTTGCGCATGCGTGAAACCACCCCCCCTCCCCCTCAGCTCCCTACGTAGAAACGCCTCCTCCCTCCTCCTCCTTACGCCACAAACAGGTTTGTTTACAGCCGGTGAACTGCATATGACTTGTAAACAACTAACTACAGTGTTGGTTAGGCAAGACGGAGAAGTGAGGAGCGGGGGGAGGGGGTGTGCGGACATTTCGTGTGCGGACAAGAAGTGAGGAGCAGGGAGAAGAGCGGAGCAGGGAGCAGGGAGAGGAGAGGGGAGAGAGGAGCAGTGCGTGGAGATTCCGTGCGAATGAACTAGCTACAACATGCAGCAGCAATCGGACTCTTTCTTTGCCTTGAAAATTACGTTTTCAGACATAGGATATCACATTCGTGTCCTGAAAAATGTTTGTGTCACTCTTGGAAATAAAGTACGTTTTCATAATAAGCAGAAGTTTCCTGTCCAGGAGTAATTTGTGGACCAGTGCGTCAGTCTTTAGACCCTTCGTCTGCTTCAGTCGCGCCATCGCTGGACTGAATCTCCAAGAATCACCTCAGTTTGGCTTCGCTGCTTTTCTCCTTGTCTTCTTCTTTCAGCGACCTCAAAAACGGACTTTCTTTTGCAGCGAACTGCTCCTGGATTCTTGTCGCCATCGCAACAAACTTTGTGTGAACTGCGAGGAAGATATAGGTCAAAAAAGCCTCTAAGAACTGTTGCGTTGGTGGAGTAAATAGCATCTGTGGACTGCGTGACAGACATATGTAAACCACGTAACGGCGGCGCAGGCAAGTCAGTTATGCTAGAAATGTAGAGAGTTTGATTGACAGCCTGTCAGCTCACAGATAATGAGGCAGTGTCGTTATCTATTGGCCAATTTTTAGCCCCACCACGTCCAGAGTTGATGAATTTTTATTCTCTTTTTTTTGGTCATCATAATTACAAGGCGACTGCATCTCTATAATCTATCATTGACAATTTGAAACAAAAAAATCCTCCATACAACCTTTAACAATCTACAGGAGTGGTCAATGAAATGGTTACTGAAGTTTCATCCGACAAAATGCAAAATTATGACTATCGGCCATACTACTAACTCGAACAACCAATATTCTATGAGCTGTCCAGAGACCGGGGCCACAGAGCTGCAGAGGGTAGACCAAGAGAAGGATCTAGGAGTGATATTCGACAAAGGCTTGACATTTAAAGAAGATATGCGCTCTCGTATACACAGGGCGAGTAGTGTGATGGGAATTATTAGGCGTACCTACACTTATCTTGATGTTGACACTTTTAAGCCTCTGTATACTGCATTAGTCAGGCCACATCTCGAATACGAAGCCGCAGTATGGAACCCAAAACTAAAGAACGACATTGAGGCAATTGAAAGAGTGCAGAGGAGAGCAACTCAACAAGTGCCTCAACTACGTAAACTGAGCTACGAACAACGTCTTCAGAGTCTTGATATTCCAACACTGAGATTTCGTATATTGAGGGGAGACATGGTAGAGAAATACAAAATACTCAACGGTATATATGATAGCTCCACTGGTAAAATACTTCAGATTGCAGTTGGCACCAAGACAAGAGGACACAGTTTGAAATTAGTGAAACCTAGAGCCTACACTAGCCTTCGTTGTCGCACTTTCAGTCACTGAATTGTAAATGACTAGAATTCATTACCAGAACACATTGTTTCTGCACCATCACTCAACTCCTTTAAAAAAAACGCCTGGACAACTACTGGGAAAATTCCAGTGGGATATGGACCTGGGTAGCATGCCTTACAAACCATGCGCCACAACTAAGTCTGGAAGAAATTGGAGTATACATGTACAAAGGAAGTGAAGACTACAGATCTGGTCTCAGGGGCTATCAGCCCACGACCAGGAACATCCTAAGTAAGTAAGAGAGACCATCGTCATCATGAATGTTGAACTTTCCTGGAGGCCAAAACTCCGCCTAAAAACAGACTTTGTCCAATGTTGTGGGCGGTGACCAGGGCTCCTTCCATTCAGCCATGAGTTAGTATAGATCCTGTGGAGATTTAGTGATCAGTAAATCAGTCTTTTATCTTAGCTGTTCTTCCTGAGTTTAACAAATTCATTGTCAAAGTTTGCAGTTTGGAACCCTGCGCCTCGCCCCTCACGACATAATATGAGTTGGGTCACTAAACACTCAAGCACAGTCTCCTCAGGCAGGTACATTGTTTTACTGGAAGAATCAGGACTCCTCTCCAAGTTCACCTCTCCAAGTTCACAAACTTCTTGCTCTTACACGACCTCCCCAGATTCAACCCGACCTCTGACCTTTCGTTACAGTTGACCAGTATAACCCATCCCGTCCATTTTACGGCTGTGTCTCTGAGAATCTGTGCAACAACATCACCCTGTCACAACGATATTTTGGCTTCAGTACCTCAGTGTCCTGCTGCAACACTTCCCACTGCAACGTCCCAGGTAAGTCCTTTTTCAGTGCTGGTTCAGTGCTGGTTCAGTCCTGGTTCAGTCCTGGTTCAGTCCTGGTTCAGTCCTGGTTCAGTCCTGGTCTAACTGTGTCTCTTTCAGATCTGGGGTTACAGTGTTTGTCGTGCACAGACTCGTCATGTTCTTCTCAGCGCTCGGTGACCTGCTCCAAACTCGCCCCCTTCTGTTACACTGATGCCTACGCAGGTACAGTACTGTCCTCTGATTGGTCACTGCATGTCTGAGCCTCTCTCTGATTGGTTGGTACAGGTCTGTAGTGGGCGGGTCTGGCTCTGGTCCACAGTCCAGACCTGGTTCTTGGAGAAGTCTCTTCAGATCTGACCTGTTTCTGTTCTGGTTTCAGGTTCTTACAGTTATGGAAACTACAACTACAGTGGAATCAGAAAAGGCTGTGCTTCATCCTCGGTCTGTACAGCTGCAGGGTCTGAGTTTGTTTCTTATGACTATGGCTCCAGTTCTTACCTCAAAAACAAAACATGCTGCGACACAGACGACTGCAACGCTCCAAACCCGACCTGTGAGTGCTGCTCCTCATTTTACACAAATAGACTTGGTAGTGGGTTCCTCCAAAGTCACCTCCTTCCAGTCCAAGTGTCCTGCCTCAGCCCAAACAGACGCCTAATGGAACAGGCTTCAGAGAGAACGAGCAGCAAAAAACATAGAAATAAATAATATTTAATAATTGTAGAGAATGAACAATTGCATTTAAAAAATCCCAAACAAACATGTCCAAACTAAAACCCCATAGATTTTTAACCCAATGATGTTCATTATGTCTTCTTATATACTTTAACTTCTTAGGTTCTTTTTAAAGACAGTGCAGTAAAGTGTATTTACCTTGTTGACATGTTTCGGCTGCTGCATCTTCAGAACTGTCACCGGTGTTGGTGGTGACGTGTCGTATATCAGCTGTTGTTACTTCCTGTAGGCGTGGTCAGCCTGATGGACCTGCAGGTGGCTCAGACTGACCACGCCTCCCGTCGCTCGTGTTTCTCTGGAGGAGGGTGTCCCAGGTGTGTGAAAGGAGGAACGCTCCGTCATCACGGTTAATGCTGTCCGTGCCTCGCTTTCTGATTTCAATGGCCTCCTTGATCCAGCGTTTGAACTTGTTGTTCAAGGAGGCCATTGAAATCAGAAAGCGAGGCACGGACAGCATTAACCGTGATGACGGAGCGTTCCTCCTTTCACACACCTGGGACACCCTCCTCCAGAGACACCGGGTGATGGGAGGCGTGGTCAGTCTGAGCGACCTGCCAGGTCCATCAGGCTGACCACGCCTACAGGAAGTAACAACAGGTGATATACGACACGTCACCACCAACACCGGTGACAGTTCTGAAGATGGCTTGCAGCTAGCAGCCGAAACATGTCAACAAGGTAAATACACTTTACTGCATTGTCTTTAAAAAGAACCTAAGAAGTTAAACCCATAGATTTTTCTCAAAGGTCCAACTGCTCCTCTCTGTTTCAGCGCCCCCTGTTGGTTCTCTGCAGTGTTACGGATGTGATCCTTACTCTTATGAATGTACTGCCAATGTGAGCTGTAACACCCAGGAGGTGTGTGGACAGGCTGTGGGTGAGTACCGTTCAAAAGATCCACTTCTACTGTTTCATGCACCAGTTCACCAAAATACAACAGGACAAGAGAGACCATCATCATCATGAATGTTGAACTTTCCTGGAGGCCAAAACTCCGTCTAAAAACAGACTTTGTCCAATGGTGTGGGCGGTGACCAGGGGTCCTTCCATTCAGCCATGAGTTAGTATAGATCCTGTGGAGATTTATTGATCAGTAAATCAGTCTTTTATCTTAGCTTCAGTTCTTCTTAATATGAGTTGGGTCACTAAACACTCAAGCACAGTCTCCTCAGGCAGGTACATTGTTTTACTGGAAGAATCAGGACTCCTCTCCAAGTTCACCTCTCCAAGTTCACAAACTTCTTGCTCTTACACAACCTCCCCCAATTCAGCCCCACTTCTGACCTTTCATTACAGATGACCGGTATAACCCATCCCGTCCATTTTACGGCTGTGTCTCTGAGAATCTGTGCAACAACATCACCCTGTCACAACGATATTTTGGCTTCAGTACCTCAGTGTCCTGCTGCAACACTTCCCACTGCAACGTCCCAGGTTAGTCCTTTTTCAGTTCCTTCCCACTCTTGACACTAGTTTCTTTTCAAATTATCAAACCATCTCAGAGATTTGAGATGAAGACTAAGTAGTCGAAACGCGTTGGTGTGACTATTAATAATTTCACCGCAAATCAGTGTGCATCTGCCATCCTTTTTTCTACATCTCAAAGATTTATTTTGCATCCAAGATTCTGGAGTGTTTTAGTTCAGCTGCAGTTATTTTTAAATGCACATAATGTATCTGATTTGCTCCAGTCACTCAACAAAGTATTTCATAGCACTGAGTCAGCACTTTTAAAGGTTTTTAATGACCTGTTTTTAATGACCGATTCTGATGATTCTGACATTTCAATGCTTTTAGACTTGACGGCTGCTTTTGACTCAGTGAACCGTGCAACTTTTTAAAATTGTCTTGAAAATTGTGTTGGTGTCAGAGGGTCTGTACTGAGTGTGTACTGAGTGTGTACTGAGTCTGTACTGAGTCTGTACTGAGTCTGTACTGAGTCTGTACTGAGTCTGTACTGAGTCTGTACCGTGTCTGTACTGAGTCTGTAGGGGGTCTGCCTTGGACTAGTTCAGGTCCCATTTGTGGGGGAGGTCTTTGTTTTAGACTGGGGGACACTGTTTCATTGTGGAGTCCCTCAGGGCTCTGTTCTTGAACCTGTACTGCCATCCATCCATTTTCTTCCGCTTATCCGGGGCCAGGTCGTGGGTTCAGCAGTCTAAGCAGGGACTCCCAGACTTCCTTCACCCCAGACGTCCACCACACGTCCCCTATGTCGAGAAGAAGAACGAGGCCAGTTACATCGCCCGGATTGGCGTCACCGGGGCCCCACCCTGGAGCCAGGCCTGGGGTGGGTGCTCAACGGCGAGCGCCTGGTGGCCGGGTCTTTCCCCACGGGCCCGGCCAGGCACAGCCCAAACGAGTGATGTGGGGCCGCCCTTCCAGTGGGCCCACCACCTGCAGGAGGATCCATAGGGGCAGGGTGCAGAGAGATCTGGGTGGCAGTCGAAGGCGGGGGCCTCGATGACCAGATCTCTGGACATGTAGAGTAGCTCTGGGGACATGGAATGTCACCTCGCTGGGGGGGAAGGAGCCTGAGCTTGTGCAGGAGGTTGAGCGTTACCGACTAGATATAGTCGGCCTCACCTCCACGCACAGTTTGGGCTCTGGAGCCCAACTGCCTGAGAAGGGCTGGGTTCTCCATTTCTCTGGCGTTGGCCGCGGGGAGCGGCGGCGGGCTGGTGTGGGCTCATTGCCCCACAGCTCAGCTGCCGTATGTTGGAGTTCACCCCGGTGAATGAGAGGGTCACGTCCCTGAGCCTTCGGGTCGGGGACAGGTCTCTCAATGTGGTGTTGGAGCTCGGAGTAGAGCCGCTGCTCCTCCATGTCGAGAGGAGCCAGTTGAGGTGGCTCGGGCAACTGTTCTGGACGCCTCCCTTGGGAGGTGTTCCGGGCATGTCCCACCGGGAGGAGGCCCTGGGGAGGACCCAGGACACGCTGGAGGGACTATGTCTCTCGGCTGGCCTGGGAATGCCTTGGGGTTCCCCTCCGGAGGAGCTGGAGGACGTGTCTGGGGTGAAGGAAGCGCCTGTACTGTTTGCACTTTATATCTTATTATCTCTATATTCTCCCCGAGTCAGATTTTTCAAAAACATGGAATCATCATTTTTATGCAGATGACTGTCAAATTGACATGTCACTCAGAAAAAATAGCAGTTCAGTCCTGGTTCAGTCCTGGTTCAATCCTGGTTCAGTCCTGGTTCAATCCTGGTTCAGTCCTGGTTCAGTCCTGGTTCAGTCCTGGTCTAACCTGTGTCTCTTTCAGATCTGGGGATACAGTGTTTGACGTGCACAGACTCGTCATGTTCTTCTCAGCGCTCGGTGACCTGCTCCAAACTTGCCCCCGCCCCCTTCTGTTACACTGATGCCTACGCAGGTACAGTACTGTTCTCTGATTGGTCACTGCATGTCTGAGCCTCTCTCTGATTGGTTGGTACAGGTCTGTAGTGGGTGAGTCTGGCTCTGGTCCACAGTCCAGACCTGGTTCTTGGAGAAGTCTCTTCAGATCTGACCTGCTTCTGTTCTGGTTTCAGCTTCTTACGATTATGGAAGCTACAACTACAGCTACAGTCAGATCAGAAAAGGCTGTGCTTCATCCTCGGTCTGTACAGCTGCAGGGTCTGAGTTTGTTTCTTATGACACTGGCTCCAGGTCTTACCTCAGAAACTACACATGCTGCGACACAGACGACTGCAACGCTCCAAACCCGACCTGTGAGTGATCTGACCTCTGATGTCTGAGTTTAGAGGGTAAAATTAGAGTTTTGTTCTCTTTGTTTCATTTCCAGCGCCCCCTGCTGGCTCGCTGCAGTGTTACGGCTGTGACCCAAATACAAATGAATGCAAAGCAACTGTGACCTGCAGTGTCCTGGAGACCTGCTCCAACACTTCTGGTGAGAGACACACTTGCCTTTTATTTCTTTATGATGTTTCACCAGTTTTTAAACTGCTCCAACTGGAAAGGCACATGGGAGAGGAAGGCATCACATAACACCGACACACAGTTGGATCTGAGAGAAAACCACAGCAACGTGAACTAAATCTTGTCATTATCATAGTGGCAAACATCCAGGAAAGAGTCTGAGGCAGTGGCGTGCGGTCAGGGCAATCAAGGCAACAGTGGTGGCCCAATAAAATCTAAAAACCTTGTGTGTGAAAAGTAGAATTAAATAGTTTCAAATTATATCCAAATAATACAGTTTTTCCTTCACTTCTGTCTGTTTGAAACATGGTTGTAGTCACAATGTTCTTTACTACACTCTTCTTGTCAATGCGCAAACTGCAACAACCATTGTTCCAAACGTCCCCTTAACTTGTGTTGTTTTGCCTTTCTACGGAGGCCTGGAGGCACATGTGGAGAGCGCAGCTTTCTACATGCACTTTAAAACCACAAAGGCCAGACGGTTATTTTAGAGCAGGAGAGTCAAACTCAAATTCACACAGGTCAAAATTAAAAACTGGGACTAAGTCATGGGCAAAATTAAATATTTATTGAAAAATTTTAACAACATCTGCATGTTTTCTGTTCTTTCGAGATATGTAATTTTAAACCTTTTCTGTTTAATAATAGTTTTGCTTAAACATTGAATCCAGAACAAGCAGAATATAAAACAAAAACAACATTTTAAATAATTTATGTCTTAATAGTCTATGTGTAACCAGCAGGCAGCTCTAATACAGATTTGATATGATCTCGTGGGCCAAATATAATTATATCGCGGGCCAAATTTGGCCCCCGGGCCTGAGTTTGACACATCTGTTTTAGAGGTTTGTGCATGTGTACTGAGAACCAGTGTTGGACATTTTACTTTTAAAAAGTAATTAGTTACTGTTACTAATGACTGAAGAAACTGAGTTACTAACTCAGTTTCTTCAGTTCCGTGTCCATCTTGGCTGGAGCTCAGGCTCACAGCGCCGGGGCTCAGGGTGAACAGCAGAGAGGTGTGTGAGCGTGTGACCATGTGAGGCGCTTCATCAGATTCCAGTTACTTGAGGTGGACAGAACTTTTTCCCCAGGGCACAGTTACACTTCACATACAAACTCTGGCCCTTTATTTCAATGAGGGAGAAATAGTGTTGGTATTTCCAATTTGAAAACGCTGCCTTTGAATGTCCCTGGCTCGTCATTGCCATTGTCGCATTCTCTTTGAGTTTGTCTCATTTAGCTGAAGTGTGCGGGAAAGAACTGTCCGCTGCATGAAGCCTGACACTGTGCCGCCTCATTCAACCCCACTGTAATGTGCCACTTTACTTTCCCCGTAACGATAACGGAGTTGTAACGATGGGGAGTGTGATTAATTAAATTACTCTGTTACCGAAAATGTAGCACTGTTAGTAGCGCCATTATACTTAAACACCGTGATTCCCAACACAGCCAGGTCAAACAGAGCTGAATAAACCTACATCATCATCCACGAGAACCGGAATGTGCAGCGATTCCATGTGCGGCCCATAACGACAACAGCAGCATTAACTTCAACACAAGTGTCTAAAAACAGCCCTGCTGTCAATCGGGCTCCAAAATGTCTCCATGTACTTGCAATTAATGTGAGTAAAAATAAATATACTATTTCCAATTTTAAAATATATTAACAAATACAACTAATATACTATTTTCAATGTAGTTTGCATAAAAAGTGTTAATTCGTTTTCATCGACTAAATATTGATCCATTCCAAGTCTGCTTGCCTACGCATAAAAGTCAGCACACACTGCTGGTCTCAGACATGAAAAACTGGACCAAACCAGGCCCTGACATGAGCCACGCATACATCCTAAAGAAGCTCACTGTTCTCCACGAGCACCTGGCAGCACAAACGAACCAACTGCTAAAGGAGGAGACCCTATTCTCACCCTGAATGACTAATTCAAGGACGTACGATCCTGATCCTGAAGGATCCCTCAACCCTCAGGCTCGCAGGCCTCTGGTCGAGGAGTTGAGCTGGATATGAATAAATGCTGTATATATTCTTCTAAATGTGAATATTCTTAACGTGCATGTTTGAGTTGTGTGGATCTTCTGTGTTCCAGTTGGGAGCTACAGTGTTTATGGATGTGTCTCTGAGAATCTGTGCAACAACCTCACCTTCTCCCAAAGATACTTGTACACCAACAACCAACCACTGTCCTGCTGCAACACCAGCTACTGCAACGCTCCATGGACCACCACAGAGGCCCCGCCCACAACCACATACACGACGCCCACCACCACAGAGGCCCCGCCCACAACCACATATACAACGCCAACCACCACAGAGGCCCCACCCACAACCAAACGTGGCGCCAACCCAAACAAAGGCCGCGGCCTTAACCACACACACAACGAAAACCCAAACAAAGGACGCGGCCTTAACCACACACACAACGAAAACCCAAACAAAGGACGCGGCCTTGACCACACACACGACGAAAACCCAAACAAAGGACGCGGCCTTGACCACACACACGACGAAAACCCAAACAAAGGCCTTGTCCATGACCAAACACAACGCCAACCACAACAGAGGCCGCGGCCTTAACCACACACATGACACGAGTCGCCACAGAGGCCCCGCCCACCTCAGAGCCGGAGGAGGACAAGGATGAGTCGTGTTCTCAGGAGCAGTGCAGGTTCTGCCTCCAGCTCTGCTCTTGTCTCTGCTGCTGCTCTGTGTTCACATGTGTCACTTAAATGTATAAGGTACTAAACACTGCTGTTTTAAAGCTGCAGTATGGGACTTTTTTTTCTGTAGTAAACCTACATAGATCATTATTTTACAAATTATTAATTGTTCAACTGTACGTAAGAACAAAGGTGTGGGTGGGGAAAGGGGAAACTGAAATTTTCTGAGCTCTCAAGTGTGAAATGATTAAATTAGAAACAACTCTGAATGAGATCATGAGAAAACACTGTTAGAACAGAGTTCATGTGTTGATTTAGCAGAATGTGTTTCTTTAATAACAATAATGTTTTTCTCTGTAGATTTTTAGTTTGGGGTGTGGAGTGGAGCCAGGTGGTTAAATCTTTAATTATGTGTGTTACAACTTTGAGATTTTTGCTTTTAAAATGTAAAGCTGGTGACAAATAAAATATATTCCTATTTTTTGTCTTGGGATTTGTGTGTTAAACGTGTTACATTGTGGACACCCAGAAGAGCAATGTCAATAAGAATATGGTTTTAATGTTTTGTCTGGAAAATAAAGATCAAATCAGCTCCATTGTTCTTGTGTCTGCTCTATCATTTTTATGTCATTGTCATTATCATAAGAGAATCCACAGAAAACAGACAATAAAACATGTACTGGGGAGGAAGGAAGTACATTTAGCTCAAGGAAAAAGGAGCACAAGAAATAAACAATAACAGAGCTAAGAAGAGGAGCACAAATACACAAAAACAGATACAAGAGGCTGAGGCTGAAATCAGGAAGCAGAACCATCAACACGTCACAGTGACTCGTCTGAAGAACACAGAAGTGATCTTGCTCAAACGTGTCGGGGAAATGAGATATT